TTCCAAAAAACGATCGTTATAAGATGTCTGTCCGTTTCAGAATTTAACATACATTCAGGTGATGTATTATTATGTCTTGAATTTGACTTTGATCTTGATGGGAGTCCGTTATGTTTGTTGTTTCTTCTGTTTGGTTTGGTTTGTTGTTGTCTCATGTTTTCTTGTCTTTGATTGGTTACACCTTTGTGGGGAATTATCTTGCCGTTAGCTGTTCTGCTCCCAATGAATGTAACATTTGTATTCAAATATGTTGTTGCCTGCTTATTTCCGAACTGTTTGTTAGCTGTTTGCTTCTTTCGTGCATCTCCTCTGTGTTTAAGCCATGGGCTTTCTTCGACTATGTTTTGATGGAAGTTCTCAGCATATTTGTTTAGCCAAGTTAAAGATTTCGCCCATCTATTATGCGACTTTTCCTCTTCGTTGCAGCATTGTGTTGACCATCTGTTTAGTAATACCTCTCGGGTTTGCCCCCGCGATATTCTTTCTATTTCTTCTTTCATTAGTGCATCAATACTCAAGTATTTATCCTCTTGAGATTGAGCACGCATTTTCAAAAGTTCAATTTCAATATCCATATCTTGTAATGCACGAAGTTCTCTCTTTCTGCGTTGGTCTAAAGGTTCACTTGGAATAAACGGGATCTTGAATTTTTCTGGTATTATTTTGTGGTCTTGATTCATCCATACTATTAATGTATCTGCATACCTGTTGTTTCAGATTGCTTGCCAAAACACTCTCTTGCGTTGCACCAGTCGTGTATTCCATGTTTGACTGAGGGAATTAAATATTTTGTCCGCTTCCTGTTCTATTTGAAACTCGGAGATATTGTCTGGCCTTGATGTCGCCAGTTCGTCTTTACTCCTCTGTATTCCCTTTACTGCCTGGTTTAATGCTTCCTTTATCAAGGACGCATCTGGCAAAGTTGATGATGAAGCTTTGGATTGGTCTTACGTTAGTTTTAGGGTATTTGGAACGTGGAAACCAAAGTGAAAGAACAGTTAGGACCTAGTCGAAACAGAATACTTATAGAACAAATTATAAACCTTTGGAGATGAAAAATTAAGATATCCTAAACAATACATTTACATTTTCATGGACTCAAATTTTCATCATTTTTGCATCATGGTAAAACTATGTGGACGAGTCAGATATAAACAATACCTTCATTTTTTTCATCTTGCCAAGTCATTAAAGAGAAGCCCTATAACTTAGCAAGACGTATCTGCATGATTGTGTCACAAATACCGACAAGGAACATACGACTTGCAGAACTAAAATCATATCTACAGTCCCGTGGATACCCAGTTCTTCTTGTGGAAGATGGAATAAAGAAAGCAATAAACATAGACAGAAGGACACTGTTGAAAGTTCGTGATAAACAAATAAATAACACTGTCAATCTGGCCTATGTTTCAACGCACAACCCCAAGAATCCGGAACTTTTTCATATCATAAGACAAAATGTTCCAATTTTAAATGCTGATATGAAAATGAATCGAATTATGGCTCATGTAACAATGATAAAGAGTAAACGCCAAAGCCGTAACTTAAAACACATATTGACACGTGCCACATTCGACTCATGTATTAAACCTACAGAATTCAGTGTCTCAAAATGTAAACGGGGAAATTGTGGAACTTGTGAATATATACTTGAAACTTCATGTATAAAGTTCAAAACAGGAAACAATTATTTCATGTACGCTCTAACATGGACTGCTCCGCAAAACATATTATTTATGTTATTATATGCCAAGGGTGTCATGAAGAATACATTGGACAAACGGAGTGCTTGAGGGACAGAATGCGCGTCCATAAACAACAGATTAAGGACCCCAAAACAAGGTGCATCCCCTTAAGCGCTCACATTGACAATTGCGCAGCAGGAAAGGAAATAAAATTTAAAATATTCCCTTTCTATAAAATGAATACTGCTGACGCCATGCAGCGTAAAGCTAAAGAAAACTTTTTCATCAAAGAATTGTGTCCATCGTTAAATAGGTAACGCAATGTGTCTGAATTATACTTGTTTTCATTGTGCTACTAGTACTGTCAATATAAAGCCGCCAATGTGACGTCATGGCAACGCCGCGTCACAACATTTGTATACAGTTGCATTGTGACGTCATGACAAATTGACGTCATAACATAATCCGTTTAACTGTAATCACTTCTCCCTGAAGATAAAAGTGAAACATGTTGGAGAAGATCCGTGTTGTGTAATTATTTCAGAAACTTCTTCTTATATATATGTACTACTGTACGCTCGGTATTCTCATCACTTTCTTTATATATATATATATATATATATTGTCATAAAAAAATTGCCTCAGATAGAAGAGAACTGGTTATATTTTAGATTGGCCAGAACCTATCACAGATATAGTCGAACTTCCTTAGAGTAGAACTCGTCTTAAATATAGTAGAACTGCCTTGTCATAGATGGACCTAACCTTGTCATAGCAAGAGTAGAACTTGTCATACACAGAACAGAATAGGTTATAGAAAGAGTCATAGTTAGACCTTGATAGAGATAGAGTAGAACTTGTCATACACAGAACAGAATAGGTTATAAAAAGAGTTTAACCGGTCATAGTTAGACCTTGATAGAGATAGAGTAGAACTTGTCATACACAGAACAGAATAGGTTATAGAAAGAGTTTAACCGGTCATAGTTAGACCTGGATAGAGATAGAGTAGAACTTGTCATACACAGAACGGAATAGGTTATAGAAAGAGTTTAACCGGTCATAGTTAGACCTGGATAGAGATAGAGAAGAACTTGGCATAGCTAGACTTTAACTGGCCATAGGTAAATTTGAACATGCCATGATATATCTTTGCAGAAAACGTTATCGTTTCCCCCTTCATTATCATCAACAAGTACTCAAACAAGAATTTTGAGTCAACTAAATTATGGTTATATAAATTATCTGGATAACTAAATTATGATACATGGTATTCATACAGTGTACCCTGGATAAGTTATATATTCTCGATCATGCCATAGTGGATTGTGAATCTCCTTGTTCCCCTACAGTGGGAGTTAATGTCAAATCAAGGGATTGAGTGATGAGCTTTATAGCTTAATCCTACAGATGGATATACCAAGACATGCACTGTCTTCCGAAACAAGAAAATAGTCTAACCTATTTCGTTTGATGGGGTTACCTTCCCTCTTTGTATGTTTATTTGTCTGCATTAGGTACTCGTTCAATTTCTCTCCAATATCTTTGTGAAAGACATTCTATAATCCCATGCCTCAACAACATCCAAATCTGTTCCCGATACATAATTGAAACTTTAATTCTAATGCCAGATCTTGGGAACATGGATACATCATTACAAGGACCATGGTTATTTCTGAATTGATAACTAATGACCCTCAATAATAACACCTAGAATTATAAAGCAGTCATAATAATTGAGAGATATGCCTTTGGTATTGAAAATAATTACTTATAATGAATATGACTCCTGCACTATGTGTGCTTCCATAAGAAAATGGCACCTGTATCTGCACTTTGCTTTTCAGGTATTTCATTATGTGGGTGTGATATAGCAGCATATACTAGAGATATGTTATCGTCCTAACTGAAATGACTCTTACTATTTAGAGCGCTCTATTCAAAGTGAAAATTAATATATGGAAACACATGGGACATTTCACAGTCGAAAATAGCTCCTGACCCATGTGGGTTACCGAGATTGTCACATGTTGAGACTGTTAATCCCTCACAGAACAAGACACACACATATAACGATTATCTATGGAAGGAATGGCGTGGGATGGGTAGCCCCAACCTGTCTGTGTGTGGAGATAGCAGGCGCAGGTGTATCAGGTGATCCCATTCACATCTTATCTGTGTCTGCCGCCAACGACGGCAGTATCAGAGGTCATTCAGGTGTCAACCTGTAAACTTCTGGAGAACGTCTTCAACCTTTAATCTCATTTGTTTCTAAACTGTTTCAGCTGGTATGTTATGGTCCTGTTATATATATAACAAACATCACATATATCTGATAACAGTTGCGATTTGTTAGAAACAGCTTAAGTCAAATACGCTCACTTTATTTAATTTAAATATAAACACCATAGGTTCAATTGACATGAAAACATTAACTATATATGTTAAGCCTACACGTTGATTGTATTAGAAGAACTGATATGGGTTGTCATAACGAGGCATTCCAAATATATACGACAGTTCTATAACACTCTGAAAGGATTATGTTGTGTAGATCTGAAACACATCGATAACTCAATACTTCAATACTTCAACGCAATCAATGGTGCTTGGCAAGAATGTCATTTAAGTCCGCCGACATTGTCAGAGTAGAATTGATAGTGATGCTACATACATCTGATCCGAGAGAGCTCTTTGCACCGATTTCCTGGAAATCATTTTATATCTCTTGGTTTCAACGACGGAATGATATACTTGCAAAGAAAATTGAATATTTTGAAGAAGGTTCTCATCCAATAGGGATGAAAAAGAATTTAGGATTGTGGTCATAGTGTGGATAGATGAACATGGATGTAATATTTGAAAGTTAATCATGGATTAAAGTTGACAACACAGTAAGACCAAGGGCCACAAAGCACTCTTTATTTTGAAACTCTACAAAGAACATACCATCGGATTGGCTGATTACAATATTAAACACAAATATATGATTTATTTTGTCAGATGAAACTCATTCAAGTATCTTTAAGAGAAACCTATCATGAAACGCTTTAACTGGTTATTGCTGACATTTCCTCAGTGATACCGTCGTATAATAGCTAACTCTAGTAACTGACTAAAGTAAGGTCAAATGTCATTTGAAATAAAGTCCAACGATTAGATACAATTGTCATTGTCTAATTTTCGAATGTAATTATCATAATGTTGACTATAAATAAATGAATTATCTATAATATGAAATGCATAATAGTTTCATGGGGTCTCGCAGAAGGTATATAATTGCTTTATGTATGTCAGTGGCGAAACTTCTCAACCCGATAATAAAGTAGCAAGTACATTAACTGGCTGATACTTATCTGTCATTATCTTATCAAAGACGTAAGTGCTCGCCGTGTGCCGAACTACTGGGGGCTGAACATATCCGAAAACCTCTTTCTAACGACTGCGTACTGTTATAGTAAAGGTAAGATGAGAAAACTCACACTACAATACATATTGCTTCATCTTCAAGGGGTGAGAAATTGAGTATGTTATGAATTGCTGAAGCTATTCTCAAAACGTGAACTTGCTGTTTCAGATATTAGAATTTTACTCATAAGTTGGTCATTTTCCATACTATTAGGTCAAACAAAACCTTCTTAGCGGACAGTGATCCAATTTTTTTTTCGTTTTGCATTCCTTAATTGTCATTCCTGACATACATCCGTCAGTGTGGATGTGTGACAGGCAGATACTCATTCTGCATCCACGTGGATGTGTGACAGACATATACTCATTCTCCATCAACGTGGACGTTTGACAGACAGATACTCACTCTCCATAAACATGGATGTGTGACAGACAGATACTCATTCTCCATCCACATGGATGTGATAGACAGATACTCATTCTCCATCCACGTGGATGTTTGACAGACATATACTCATTCTCCATCAACATGGATGTGTGACAGACAGATACTCATTCTCCATCCACGTGGATGCTTGACAAACATACATTCAATCTCCATCCACGTGGATGTGTGACAGACAGATACTCATTCTCCATCTACGTGGATGTGACAGACAGATGCTCATTCTCCATCTACGTGGATATGACAGACAGATACTCATTCTCCATCTACGTGGATGTTTGACAGACATATACTCAGTCTCCATCCACGTGGACGTTTGACAGACATATACTCACTCTCCATCCATGTGGATGCTTGACAGACATACATTCAATCTCCATCCACGTGGATGTATGACAGACAGATACTCATTCTCCATCTACGTGGATGTTTGACAGACAGATACTCAATCTCCATCCACGTGGACGTTTGACAGACAGATACACACTCTCCATCTAAGTGGATGCTTGACAGACATACATTCAATCTCCATCCACGTGGATGTGTGACAGACAGATACTCATTCTCCATCTACGTGGACGTTTGACAGACAGATACTCACTCTCCATCTAAATTGGATGCTTGACAGACATACATTCAATCTCCATCTCCACGTGGATGTATGACAGACAGATACTCATTCTCCATCTACGTGGATGTTTGACAGACAGATACTCAGTCTCCATCCACGTGGACGTTTCTCATTCTCCATCCACGTGGATGCTTGACAAACATACATTCAATCTCCATCCACGTGGATGTGTGACAGACAGATACTCATTCTCCATCTACGTGGATGTGACAGACAGATGCTCATTCTCCATCTACGTGGATGCTTGACAGACATACATTCAATCTCCATCCACGTGGATGTATGACAGACAGGTACTCATTCTCCATCTACGTAGATGTTTGACAGACATATACTCAGTCTCCATCCACGTGGACGTTTGACAGACATATACTCACTCTCCATCTACGTGGATGTGTGACAGACAGATACTCATTCTCCATCCACGTGGACGTTTGACAGACAGATACTCACTCTCCATCTAAGTGGATGCTTGACAGACATACATTCAATCTCCATCTACGTGGATGTATGACAGACAGATACTCATTCTCCATCTACGTGGATGTTTGACAGACAGATGCTCATTCTCCATCCACGTGGACGTTTAACAGACAGATACACACTCTCCATCTAAGTGGATGCTTGACAGACATACATTCAATCTCCATCTACGTGGATGTATGACAGACAGATACTCATTCTCCATCTACGTGGATGTTTGACAGACAGATGCTCATTCTCCATCCACGTGGACGTTTAACAGACAGATACACACTCTCCATCTAAGTGGATGCTTGACAGACATACATTCAATCTCCATCCACGTGGATGTGTGACAGACAGATACTCATTCTCCATCCACATGGATGTGACATACATTCAATCTCCATCAACGTGGATGTGTGACAGACAGATACTCATTCTCCATCTACGTGGATGTTTGACAGACAGATGCTCATTCTCCATTCACGTGGATGTGTCAGACACATATTCATTCTCCATCCACGTGGACGTTTGACAGACATATATTCATTTTCAATTCACGTGGATGTGACAGACAGATCTTCATTCTCAATTCACGTGGATGTTTGACAGACAGATGCTCATTCTCAATTCACGTGGATGTGACAGACAGATCAATTCACGTGGATGTGACAGACAGATACTAATTCTCCATCCACGTAGATGTGACAGACAGATATTCATTCTCCATCTACGTGGATGTTTGACAGACAGATGCTCATTCTCAATTCACGTGGATGTGTCAGACAGATATTCATTCTCCATCTACGTGGATGTTTCACAGACAGATACTCATTCTCCATCCACGTGCATGTTAACAGTTAGTTGTATGTTAACATTTTTGCATAGGTGAAGTTTTAGTGTTTCCTAATTTTGAAACAAACATACTGCTTATTGAAGCCTGTAATTTTCACAAATTAGATACAGATAAATGCCTCTAAAATTGATCTTGTGTATGTAGATCAATGTCCTGCGTTTGCCATGTTGGCCTGCAGATATACAATGATTTGAATAATTTGGTATAGCCTGCCAATCCTCCTGAAAAGCTACTCAAGCTGGAGAGCGTTGGCGAGTACTGGGTCTCTGCTTGGGATGCTGTTATTGGGACATGTGAAAGGACTGAGAGGGGCAATCATCTGTCCGTCTGCCTTTTCGTTGGAGATCAACGATCTCTTGCATTGTCTTCGTGCAGTTTCAGATTCCTGCCGATAATTCTAGCGAGTGCCAGGACGCATCATGCCACACACATATAGCTGAACTGTCATATTACCATTAAATGAATACAAATCAGTTCGCTTGCCATGTGCGATACCTGTTAATGTAACACTATCACAGGAAGCTTTATTTTAAGGCTGGATAAAACTGGTTTCTAACGGTAAATATTGAATTCTCCCTTCCTGTTATTGTACGGAATTCGTCATTGATATCAGGGGCAGATTTTCATTTACTGACTACTGCAATTAATGATTTCGTATTTCAGTTGATATATTGAAAAGAATCTCATGTACGTGTCTTGGTCTCGTGAGAAGCTCTCTTTGCAGCCTTAACTATACTCGTTTCACGGTACCTGCCGCACCGTCGAGAAAAGTACACTTTTTCATATGCCAAACTTTCAGGCAGTTTGTGGCATTGACATCCCCTCTCTATCGCCATTTTGTATGTTTCATCAGAAACTGTCTCTCAGGCATTTTGGAGCTTGTGAGTAATAGTGTTATTAGATTGGCCTCTGTGTGCACGTCCATCCATGCTGGTAATGTATGATGTGAAGTTCCATGGTGATTACATGTGGCTTTCTGATGCAACACCGAGCTGCGATAGGTACATCATTAGTTCCCTTATTTATTGTCGTTAGTATATATCTGATCATCAGATGACTTGTAAAACACATTCAAGTCGGCGGAAACGACCACCATGACGTCAATGCGTTACCTCTCACTCACGTTGAGTGTCCTGGTGGTTACACCACTCATTCAGCCTTCACACACAGACAGCTTTTACCAAAATTAAGTCTTTGTACCGTATGATGACATTTCTTTCATTCATTAATGTCCATTCAGCCTGTAAAATGCCTCCCGCCTTTCTAGGGACATATGTTATTCATAGTACACACAACTGTTTTAAGATTGTTCAACAGACAAGACGTGCAATCATTATGACTGACAGGTGTCACAGTACCATTCAGATCTAGAATAGAATCATAGGTTGAATTTGAATTTCCAAATTGACCATTGATCAGTTTTGAGAAAAGATACTATCGGCAAATATGGTAAATCGTGGTCTGATGTAGATTACCCTCAACGGACCATTCATGAAGAAGGAATATAGGTGGACATGGTAAAATGATTCTTATACAAGATAATCATTCATATTTCATACGTCATAGTTCCTTTCAAGCTGCTTTTTGCTTACTGAGGACATCGAGATGATTAAACGTCATGTCTTGGAACAATAAATATGAATCCTTCCCAGACATGCCATATTTTGCTTCCTCTCAGAGAACATCAACATTGTATCCCAGTGTGCACGGTCCAACTCCTGAGTAGCCATGTCATATGCTTTTGGTGTGTTGCTGTGTGCGACGCTATGTGGAGCTGTGCCTGTGCTTAGACTTCGAAGCTGGCTCCCCATTCCTGACGCCTCCAGCCGCCTCCTACCTTTCCTGGGAACCGCAGACAAAGTTGCATGGGACGACCAGGACAGCTACCTGTACGTTATAGGTAAGACAAAGTTATTGGCTACACAGGACTAGGCATGTCTACCAAATTGATAACGCTGGTGGCATTCATATATCATTAAATTCACAACTCCCAGTAATAAGCCTTACGTTATTCCAAGCTAGTCACTACAATTTATGCATTGTGTTTAAGGTACCCAAGCTGAGACTCTGCATATCGTGGACGTGGCGAATCACAGCGATCCCCAGATTGTGTTCACTCGTGTATTCAGTGAGATAGCAGATGGTATCCCACAAGCTATTGCCTTTTGTCGTAGTCCCATGCGTGAGGAGTTGGTCATAGCGTTCTCCGCCAGGGATAGGCTGAATGAGGGACATGTGGAGGTCTTCAAACCATTCCTTCGTTTCGACCAGACTCTTACACTCCTCGGAAGAGTAGCAAGTACAGTAACGTCAACTTTCACAAACCTGAAAACGAACAGGCTTTGCAAAAACGACTAAAAGTTTGTAATACTGAGATAATGACATTATAAACAAAAACATTTATGTATGTCCATTTACTATTCACTAGCATCTAGTATGCAGCGCCAAGTGATCATTATCTACTTATATTTGTCAGCTGAAGCCGACCCATCTGCTGTGAAGTTTGACAGTTCCTGTTTCCATTTTGTCGTGTCATGCGAGGGTCGACCTGGCAAGAGAAACAACGCATTTGAAGACCCTTTGAGTCACGTAGATGTGTTTGAACCCCAAGTGAATGGCTGGACCAAACTCACCATAAATTTCCAGTGAGATAAAGGCTGAAGTTACCGATTACTGTACACATGCACATAGAAGAACTATTTCAGATCCAAACATTGCTGCTGCGACTTTAGTAGACTTGTCAAGTTGGCATTCTTTGTAATCCTTCCTTATGTTCCCATGCCTACATGTAAACAATAGAACACTTGCAGCACGCAATTCATGTAAAGTGTTTATGCATGAGCAAACATGATTTCCCTTTCTGACGTGTCGCATGTTCTCCACACAGGGGTGCGAGAGGACTGGATCAAGCCAGATACGTTTATAAGGACGGCAACAATCCCCAACATTCGATACTCAACGACCTAGAGCCCAGTGACCTTGCAATAGACGATGACAACCGCGTCTACGTCATCTTCCATGTGCGATATATCGCAATTTTTTAGTTGCAACTTACAATTATACACCTGCCCCTTTGACCGCAAAGGCTACAGCAGTAACTATCATAATCTGAACACTGACATTGCACCCACTAACAGCAACAACCGAAATGTGAACACTAACATCGCCCAACCAACATTAACTACCATCATGTGAACACTGCCATCGCACCAACCAACAGTAACTACTATCATGTGAACACTGACATCGCACCCACCAACAGTAACTACCATCATGTGAACACTAACATCGCACAAACCGAACGCAACAACCATCATGTGAACACTGACATCGCACACACCAACATTATCTACCATCATGTGAACACTGACATCACACCAACCAACAGTAACAACCATCATGTGAACACTAACATCGCACCGACCAACAGTAATAACCATCATGTGAACACCGACATCGCACCCACCAACAGTAACAACCATCATGTGAACACTAATATCGCACCCACCAACAGTAACTACCATCATGTGAACACTAATATCGCACCCAACAACAGTAACTACCATCATGTGAACACTGACATCGCACCCACCAACAGTAACTACCATCATGTGAACACTGACATCGCACCCACCAACAGTAACTACCATCATGTGAATACTGACATCGCACCAACCAACAGTATCATGTTAACACTGACATCATGTAACTACCATCATGTGAACACTGACATCGCACCACCAACAGTAACTACCATCATGTGAACACTGACATCGCACCCACCAACAGTAACTACCATCATGTGAACACTGACATCGCACCCACCAACAGTAACTACCATCATGTGAACACTGACATCGCACCAACCAACAGTAACTACCATCATGTGAACACTGACATCGCACCCACCAACAGTAACTACCATCATGTGAACACTGACATCGCACCAACCAACAGTAACTACTATCATGTAAATACTGACATCGCGACCACCAACAGTAACAACCAGCATGTGAACACTGTCACGCAAACCAACTACCATCATGTGAACACTGACATCGCATTATGTGAACACCAACAGTAACTACCATCATGTGAACACTGACATCGCATAAACCAACAGTAACTACCATCATGTGAACACTGACATCGCACAAACCAACAGTAACTACCATCATGTGAACACTGACATCGCACATAAACCAACAGTAACTACCATCATGTGAACACTGACATCGCACCAACCAACAGTAACTACCATCATGTGAACACTGACATCGCATAAACCAACAGTAACTACCATCATGTGAACACTGACATCGCACCAACCAACAGTAACTACCATCATGTGAACACTGAACATCATCGCACCCACCAACAGTAACTACCATCATGTGAACACTGACATCGCACCAACCAACAGTAACTACCATCATGTGAACACTGACATCGCACCCACCAACAGTAACTACCATCATGTGAACACTGACATCGCACCCACCAACAGTAACTACCATCATGTGAACACTGACATCGCACCCACCAACAGTAACTACCATCATGTGAACACTGACATCGCACAAACCGACAGTAACTACCATCATGTGAACACTGACATCGCACCCACCAACAGTAACTACCATCATGTGAACACTGACATCGCACCCAAACCGACAGTAACTACCATCATGTGAACACTGACATCGCATAAACCAACGGTAACTACCATCATGTGAACACTGACATCGCGCCAAACCAACAGTAACTACCATCATGTGAACACTGACATCGCACCCACCAACAGTAACTACCATCATGTGAACACTGACATCGCACAAACCAACAGCAACTACCATCATGTGAACACTGACACCGCACAAACCGACAGTAACTACCAGCATGTGAACACTGACATCGCATAAACCGACAGTAACTACCATCATGTGAACACTGACATCGCACAAACCGACAGTAACTACCAGCATGTGAACACTGACATCGCACCAAACAACAGTAACTACCATCATGTGAACACTGACATCGCACCCACCAACAGTAACTACCATCATGTGAACACTGACATCGCACCAACCAACAGTAACTACTATCATGTGAACACTGACATCGCACAAACCAACAGTAACTACCATCATGTGAACACTGACATCGCACCCACCAACAGTAACTACCATCATGTGAACACTGACATCGCACCCACAAACAGTAACTACCATCATGTGAACACTGACATCGCACCCACCAACAGTAACTACCATCATGTGAACACTGACATCGTACCCACCAACAGTAACAACCATCATGTGAACACTGACATCGCACAAACCGACAGTAACTACCATCATGTGAACACTGACATCGTACCAACCAACAGTAACTACCATCATGTGAACACTGACATCGCACAAACCGACAGTAACTACCATCATGTGAACACTGACATCGCATAAACCGACAGTAACTACCATCATGTGAACACTGACATCGCGCCAAACAACAGTTACTACCATCATGTGAACACTAACATCGCACCAAGCAACAGTAACTTCGATCATGTGAACACTGACATCGCACCAACCAACAGTAACTACCATCATGTGAACACTGACATCGCACCAACCAACAGTAACAACCATCATGTGAACACTGACATCGCACCAACCAACAGTAACTACCATCATGTGAACACTGACATCGCACCAACCAACAGTAACTACCATCATGTGAACACTGACATCGCACCCACCAACAGTAACTACGATCATGTGAACACTGACATCGCACTCACCAACAGTAACTACCATCATGTGAACACTGACATCGCACAAACCGACATGCAACAACCATCATGTGAACACTGATATCGCACCCACCAACATTATTTACCATGATGTGAACACTGACATCGCACCCACCAACAGCAACAACCATCATGTGAACACTGACATCGCGACCACCAACATTAACTACCAGCATGTGAACACTGTCATCGCACAAACCAACAGTAACTACCATCATGTGAACACTGACATCGCACCCACCAACAGTAACTACCATCATGTGAACACTGACATCGCACAAACCGAACGCAACAACCATCATGTGAACACTGACACCACACAAACCGACAGTAACTACCAGCATGTGAACACTGACATCGCATAAACCGACAGTAACTACCATCATGTGAACACTGACACCGCACTGACACAAACCGACAGTAACTACCATCATGTGAACACTGACATCGCACCAAACAACAGTAACTACCATCATGTGAACACTGACATCGCACCCACCAACAGTAACTACCATCATGTGAACACTGACATCGCACCCACCAACAGTAACTACCATCATGTGAACACTGACATCGCACAAACCAACAGTAACTACCATCATGTGAACACTGACATCGCACCAACCAACAGTAACTACCATCATGTGAACACTGACATCGCACAAACCGACAGTAACTACCATCATGTGAACACTGACATCGCATAAACCAACAGTAACTACCATCATGTGAACACTGACATCGCACCAACCAACAGTTAACTACCATCATGTGAACACTAACATCGCACCAACCAACAGTAACTACCATCATGTGAACACTGACATCGCACCAACCAACAGTAACTACCATCATGTGAACACTGACATCGCACCAACCAACAGTAACTACCATCATGTGAACACTGACATCGCACCAACCAACAGTAACTACCATCATGTGAACACTGACATCGCACCCACCAACAGTAACTACCATCATGTGAACACTGACATCGCACCCACCAACAGTAACAACCATCATGTGAACACTGACATCGCACCCACCAACGGTAACTACCATCATGTGAACACTAACATCGCACAAACCGAATGCAACAACCATCATGTGAACACTGATATCGCACCCACCAACATTATCTACCATGATGTGAACACTGACATCACACCCACCAACAGTAACTACCATCATGTGAATACTGACATCGCACCCACCAACAGTAACAACCATCATGTGAACACTGACATCGCACCCACCAACGGTAACAACCATCATGTGAACACTGACATCGCACCCACCAACATTAACAACCATCATGTGAACACTGACATCGCGACCACCAACATTAACTACCATCATGTGAACACTGTCATCGCACAAACCAACAGTAACTACCATCATGTGAACACTGACATCGCACCCACCAACAGTAACTACCATCATGTGAACACTAACATCGCACAAACCGAACGCAACAACCATCATGTGAACACTGACACCACACAAACCGACAGTAACTACCATCATGTGAACACTGACATCGCATAAACCGACAGTAACTACCATTATGTGAACACTGACACCGCACAAACCGACAGTAACTACCAGCATGTGAACACTGACATCGCATAAACCAACAGTAACTACCATCATGTGAACACTGACATCGCACCAACCAACAGTAACAACCATCATGTGAACACTGACATCGCACCCACCAACAGTAACAACCATCATGTGAACACTGACATCGCACAAACCGACAGTAACTACCATCATGTGAACACTGACATCGTACCAACCAACAGTAACAACCATCATGTGAACACTGACATCGCACAAACCGACAGTAACTACCATCATGTGAACACTGACATCGCACCCAACCAACAGTAACTACCATCATGTGAACACTGACATCGCACCAACCAACAGTAACTACCATCATGTGAACACTGACATCGCACCCACCAACAGTAACAACCATCATGTGAACACTGACATCGCACCAACCAACAGTAACTACCATCATGTGAACACTGACATCGTACCCACCAACAGTAACAACCATCATGTGAACACTGACATCGCACCAACCAACAGTAACTACCATCATGTGAACACTGACATCGCACCAACCAACAGTAACTACCATCATGTGAACACTGACATCGCACCCACCAACAGTAACAACCATCATGT